TAGAGAAAAGCTGAGGGATGGAAGCTTCGACAAATGTGGATGTTGGCTGCGCTGAATTTGAAATTCATATTTAAAGCCATTGCACATTCTTCACTATGCTTTTTATAAATCTTCTGGCAGGAAGCCTAAGCAAATGGCCCAGCTGGAGTTGCTGATCGTAGCTCCTAGAAGCCATATTTGCTGCGATCCAGCGCCTGCTGCTTTCCTCGCACTGCTCAGTTGGGACGGCATCACCTTTCCCTCTCCCTTGAGTCTGCTAGGTCCCTACTGTTAAGCGGCCACCAGCTCTGGGAGCAGCGCCGACCCCACGGAATGCGAATCCAAGGCAAACGTGATGTTCACACATGAGCACACACTACGTGTCGGCTGTGCCGGGATCCCCATGGCACAACCAAGGACAGTCTCTTCAAAGCTGAAGAGCAGAGCCCCTGGGATACTCGTACAATGTAGTGCAGTTCTGCAAAGGCACATTTTCTTCCAGGGAGAAGAAGATGCTGCATTATAGGCTGAGACTCCCCCAAACTTGCTCGCTTAGATCCTGCCTCGCTCTGCGCCAGTCTGGGCAGGCGCCCAGGAGCAGCCGTCCCAGGTTCACCTCCTCCCGCCCTGCGACCGCCTGTCCTCAACACCCAAAGATGGACGTTTCTCACTTGCATCAGGTGCGCCCATTCCTGCCTTGCCTTGAGCTTTTCCCATGTCCCAAGCCAAGAGCAGAACTCTGTCCCAGCTGTTTCCACGTGATTCAGCATTAGCCCAGCTCTCTGCAGAAATCCAGTTCCCAGCTCTGCTTGCCCGTAGATACTAACAGCACAACTAGAAGCTTTCTCACATATAACCTACAAATGGCTCATGTATCCAAGTTTGACATGTTTCTCTTTTATGCTTCTCAGGGATATTGAATTGTCCTAGGAGCACCAGAGGATCCCAGAGGCATCTTCTCCAGGCTCTTCACAAAAACAAGGTGAAAAGCACAGGAAGATTTGGAGAGGAGGAAAATCTTCCTGCCACCAAAATGAATATAACAAGTCCCTTCAGCACAGAGAAAAGATGCTGTTTATTGTCTCCAAACTGTACCAAGGTAAGGAAATATGTATTTTTAATTCCATGTGGCAGCAAGGTTCATAGATTTCTAGAGGACACATGTCCATATTTCTCAAATGGCCTCAGAGATTCCTTCTCCAATCTGGACGGGACTTTCAGAGTGTTTCTGCTTGTCACCTGTCTGTAACAGCTGCAAGTGCCTGTTTCAGATATTTCAGAATTGAAGAACTTTGTTTTTTTTCTGCTCTGAGGACAGTTGTCTGTCAGATCAAACCAGAGAGGGAATGACTGGAAGCAGGGGCACTGAAAATTATCTGCTGGGTCATTATAATAGACATTCTCCCCTCTCATTTTCCAGCTCTTGCATTACCTCCTGGCTCTTGCTGTATATCTGACATCTAATTGATCACAGCATCTGAGCTGCTAGTGCATCTTCCAAATGTTTGTGCTCACACACAGAGTTCTTGAATTATCTTGATTTGTCTTGTGTCAGTTACAGACTGTAAACATTTACTGTTTGGAGAAGATAGGAATTAACATCACCTCTCTTTCTATTGAATATTCTATTTTTTTTGTTTGTTTTTCTGAAACAAAGAATGGGTCCTCATGAAGTAGCTGGTATGGTCTATGAAGTGGCTTCTCCCTATTTAGTATCTCCACTACTAATCTCTTCCACACAGGAGCCTGCAATCCCTGGTACAGTGACTCTGGATTCCTGGCTGACAGCAAGCACCACCGCTTTCCTGGGGGAAAACTTGCTGTCTGCTGCAGAAGTTTGTTTCTGGCCTTCCTAAGGAAGTTCTACTCTAGCACTTTGCAATGTAAATTCCCCTCTTAAGACCAACTTTTATGGCCAGTGAAAAATAATGTTCTGTGGCATTAGATAAGAATTTTGCTGACTTCATGAACTAAATATATTTCCAGCTTCCATTTCGGATAGAGTTCTCTCTTCATTAAAGTTCTGTCTTGGAAATATCCAGAACTATGGATAGTTTGATAGTTTTTGATAGAGTTTTCTCCAAGTGTGATTAAATTAAGATCTTTTTGTGTATCAAAAAGACCTCGTTTTGCTCCTATGGGTTTGTGCAGAAAAGGTTCTCCTTGTCATTCTCTAGTGCCAGCAGTGTTGTCTGCCAGATGATTATAATCATTTTGCCATAGTCCCCTTGAGACCTGCACTGACCTGCTGCAAGATAGACATTCAGAAGATTCAGTACAAGTTATTTGTTTGCAAAAATGTCTAAAATAACGCAGAGAGAGCCCAGGAGGGGGGAGAAGTTTTCACATCCATTTCTAAATTGAGTAGTTAAATACTGGTAGATAGTTGATAGCAACATTGAGGCAATATCCTCCAAAATAATCACTGAAATGGAGTCCAAGAAATCTCAGGTATGATATATCGTAGGGTATTACTGAAAGTAGAGTCAGGATTTGTTGCTGGCTCGCACCGTTACTCTTGTATGGACTTGCATCTTGGTAGTTGTGGAACTCTCAGTTGTACACAGCAGCGAGACAAAACAGAAAAGGCCAAGGCTGGGCAAGAAAGTTACGTGAGTGGCTTAGAAGGCAGCTACTTGTCCTGCCTCTCAGATCTTTCTGAGACCAAAAAGAATGCAAGATAAATGCATTTTTTTCAAACATTTCCTCTCCGTTCTATGTGAATTTTTTTCCATGCATTTAGAGTTGTTCTAGAAGATTTGGCTTTCCTGCTTGATTAGCTTTATTACAGCTGATCTCCTGAAATGTAAAGCACCAACTTGCTTTTCTTCAAGTGAAAGTTCTATGTCAGACCTTACCTCGAATTCTAAAATCATTATTAAAAAAAAAAAAAAAGCTTAAGGCAAATCAGCACTATTTTGTTTTTGTGGTTTTTTTTTTTTTTTTTTTCCCTAAATCTGTAGACACAAGGACATAAAGCTAGAAGCTGTCTCCACGGAGAAAAACAGAGAAGGAAATGATTTGAAGAATTTGTGAGCTGCGTGCGTAGGACTTTTTTATGACAGAGTTTTTGCTTTAGAGAATGGAGTGGGCTTGTCTTGTTCTGCTCTATATTTGATGTCTGTGGTTTCCAAATTACTCTTAAGACAGAAAAGAATCATTCCAGTCTCAAGGGACCAGAAATCAGAATCTGCTTATGTAGAGGGAAGAAAAGGGCAAAAACTGAGAAATAAATCAGTTGTGTGCTGATTAGGAGCTAGGAGGAATCACGTAAGCAATCGTTTCTGCTGCTTAGCTTAACATGGGAGAGAGGCGAGGTGCTGCGGTTCGCAGAACTGATCCTGTCTGTGTGCGGCAGGGCGCCGGCTCCTCGGGGGTGGCTGGATCTCTGGGCAGGTTACTCAATCCCTCCTTGTCTCTGTTTGCCCTCAAACGTTAAGAATCTCTTCCAGTCACTGCGGAAGGCTCCCTGTTAGCTGGGCAAGGCCCTCCAGGCTCCCTCAGCAGAGGAAGACGCTTCGCGTACAGCCGAGCCGCGCGTCGTGGTTGGGTTTGCAGGCACCGTTCTCTGCACAGGGCCGCATCGGCACCGCTCGCTGGCACTGCTTTGAACCTCTGCTGCTGGAGGCGTTCTTTTCCCTTCACAAAGCTGGAAATTCAACATTTACATAGGAAAATCTGATGTATTGTCCCTCCTGTTCCCAACATGGCAGACATCTGGACTTGGAGAGAGCACAAGACCCTGGAGATGTTTTCTTAACATCTTAAAATCCAGTCTGGAAGGTATTTTAAAGACTAGAGTTTGGGCTACATCTAGCAGGGGGAAAGACCTGTCACTCAGCGCAGCTCAGCTCGTAAGTACCAGTCTCCAGAAGACAAGTGACAATTGTAATGGGGCTAATTCCCTAGGCAGCGTTGGCATAACACCATCAGGCTGTCTGGCACTGCGAGGATATTTCTTCCATGTAAGAAAACTAATCCTAAGCAAGACAGGTTTAGTGTGAGTTATGCTCTTTAAAGTGCTATTGCAGCAAGTAAAACAAGTGGCATCGTTTCTCAGTGTTTTAAAATAAGCAAGCCTCAAATCAATATGGATTTATTCTTGTCTCTTCCTACAGTACCCAGCAGGGCCTTTCTGTTCCAAACTCTTTCAGGAAAAAAAAATGTATCTTCAAGTAATGCGCTTTGTATCATGTAAAACAGAATGTGCATCCAGTCATCCAGCTTGAAGGGGTGTATTTCTGTCACAAACCAGTTGGGGGCTGGGAGGCGGAGGGGGCAGTTCTATTTATTTTCAGTGACATCGCTGTGGTTTTGACCCTTTTACCCTGACTCTTCATAGGCCATAACTGGCTAATTAAAAGCATGGTTAAGGTCAGCTACTTCTGTTTTCAGTGCAGCAGAAGAGCCTGTTTGGGAGCGGCTTAAGGAGGAATGGCTTTTAGGACAGCAACTTCCTTAAGCAGGGACGTAGGTCAAGAACTTCTCCTTGAGCAATATCAAATACTTTGCGCAGTGAAGCATCGTGAGATTCTGGGTTCTCTCAAAGGCCACAGTGACTCCTCTAGAGAATGCCGCTCTCCAGAAGCAGCCTGGGCAGCCCAACAGCAGCAGAGCACTTGGCCTTGATCATAGAAACTTAAGGTCTCTGTAGGTGCCTGTAGATCCAGGTGATGAGAACCAGCTGCTGCTCACTGTAGGCTCAGGGTTCGAGACGCATGACATCAGGTTTCAGAAGACCTTAGCTGTTCACTTACATTTTTAAGCTTCTAAAGCCTGTAACTTTTATGTCCAGATTTCTCCAGATGGGGGCTAATCAGGTCCATTTTCATGTTGTATTTAGTGTCTCACCGCTATTTCTTGTGCTCAGTAAAATCTGGCAGCACGGACAGCTCGCGCGTAGGAAGCTGAAGCGCGCTCACCTGCGGTGCCGAACGCAGCAGGCACGCGCACCTACTGTCGTTATCATCCCGTCTCCAATTGCTGAGTGCTCTGAAGGGTGTTTAAAGATAGAAAGTTGGTTCTTTCAGCAGCACTCACCCATGCCCGGCCTAGAACGGCCACTGTAACACAGGGAGGCTGATGGGAGTCCGAACGGGCTTCCCTTCACCGAGGCTGAGCCCTTGCAAGGGGACCTGCTCTAGCAAGGGGCTGAAAACGCGTTGAGCCTTTCACTCGCTCCTGGAAAGGGGTCTGGCAGGTATCACATAGCGAACCGCCTTCCTCCTGACTTATCTGTGCTGTGATGGAGGAGTCTCCAGGGAAGTATTCATTCGTATTAGCACATGGCAGTGCTCCCCAGCCCCGCAGAAGCTGCTTGCATGTGCATTAACGATGAGAGGGGTTGACCTCCAGCTCTGAAACAGAAGGGCACACGGGGGATAGAAGCTCAGCAAGAACAAACAACCAGCAACCAAGGGCTTGTGCAAGAGAGCAGGGCTGTGCCTGCAACCAGCTCCAGCACACAGAGGTGACCCCATTTCCCCCGAACAAACAACTTTCTTCATCCTTACCCTGAAACAAGTTCTCAGGGGGTGGAAAGTTTCTTTTAGACCGAGTGACTAGCTCTGCATTTTCTTTCTGTCTGCTCAGAGCAGACTGGCCTAAACCACAAAATATTTTGCCAGTGAGAACACAGAAGTTCTGACTGATGGAAGCAGTTAAAAGTAAACGTGGAGTTAGTGCTCACTGCTAACCTGGGGGCAGTCAGCACTCGGCTGTCTTAAAGCCCTCATGTTCAGCTTGAAGGTCTAGGAAACAGTGCAGTCAACTCATGTAGGGAGGCCCAAGAGCTGCTTTGCGGGCACAGAAGAGGCAGGGAAAGGCAGAGAGCTCTCACCTCTGCTCAGAAAGCGGGTCAGTGATGGCGCAGTCCCTCTGCCCCGTAGTTTTCTGCCGTGGTGCAGCTGGCGGCTGCGAGTGGGGCATGGCAATTCTGGCGTGCCCAGGAGCAGTGCCAGCTCCCCTCCTGCCAAGCAAACTGGGTGGCAGCAGCGAGTCAAACACCCTGTGGAACGCAGCAGGGCTCTGCACGGGCGCGACGGCTGGTTAACAGCTTCCATTTCAATTCATAGTGTAAAATAATATTAATCCATGCAAGTGTTGGTGATGGTTTATGTTTCTCTGTGCTTGCAGAGGTAAGGAAGATTATTAGAAGTGATTGAAGAACAAAATCATACCAAAAATCCGTCATCTGGACATAGTTTAAGAATGTTTGAAGCTCAGCTGCACACCCTAGGGACTCTTGCTGGCAAAAATGTACAGTCCTTCAAATTCAATTTTCTTTGAGCAGTTTGCCTTCAGTCTGACCTTTGTAAAAGAGACTTGAGTAATTTTAAAATTGACAGCTATCTATCTGCTGTCACTAAGTGAAATCTCAGGCATTCCAAGGTTTAAAAGAAATACACGCAGACAGGTGTTATTCGAAGTTTTGATGCAAGTTTCTTTTAATTTCAGATTAATGCAGTTTTCCGTCTCTTATAAGAGGTGTTTATGCTACCCTGCAGAAGCAGTGCAAAGCTGTGGTGCCTTGAGCCTTTCCAGGACTGTGGTTTTGGCTGTTATGAGCATGAGCTCCGTGCAGAGGGAGCTTGGGCTGTAAGCACTCTGGCCTGAGCTCCGGGAGGTGCCTGTGGCTCGGAGCTGCCTAGCAGCCGGGAAGCAGCGGAACACAGGGCCTGGAAGAGCAGGACAGCCGTGGGACTAGTTGGAGAGGTGCTGTGGGTAAATGCTGGTTGTTACTCAGTGCACTTGTTTGAGTTCTTCTCCCCATCGCTTGCCTGGAATCGTGCCCATGCACCAGCTCAAGCTCCCTGTTGCAGTGAGGACAGCCCTTTCATAACAGCCAAACCGAGCATGAGTTGTCTTAATGACTATTTTTCAACTTCAAAGTACTATAGTATAGAACAGATTTTGGAAGTCTGTGCTTACTAAATGTCTTCATGCTCTACTCTTAGCCTAGCCGAAAGAGTTAAAAAAAAAAAAAAAACAGTAAGAAAAGAATCAACAGTAAGGCCCAAAGGCAGTATCTTATTTAGCTACCCTGCATTCTGCTTGCTGCCCATTCTCACATGTGGTCAAGCATAAGATGTGATCACATAGGTCATAGCAAACTTGCCTACTCTCCCTCAGGGGAGTTACTCTCCTTTCTTTTTCCAAAGTTGCTGTTTCTCTACTTTTCCAACAAATTGCAGAACATCTTCAGCCAGAAGCACTGGTTCCTCCAGCGCTGCAAAGTGGCCCCCTCGAGGCATGTAGTGGAAGGAGACCACGTTGGGGTACTTCTTGCGGGCCCAGGCCTGGGGTGTGTGCATGAGCTCATTGGGGAAGGAGGCAATGCCAGTAGGAACATGTACAGGGAGCCTGCAAGAGAAGAAAAGAGTATTTCAAATGTTTAATTCAGCAAGCAAGGCGATGTTCCTTGGAAATTGTGTTCTCCAATGCCTGGACACACTGCTTAGGCAATTAAAAGGTGATTTCCATATCCAAAATTTGTACACTAGACAACACTGCAGTTGTAGTTACAGTTTTTGCACAAGTTTCAAGACATCTGTACAAGGACTTTAAGACATTAGTGGTGCAAGTACAAAAGTTAGAACTCGAGGAAGGGGTGGGTATCACATTTCCTCATGCTGCACGCAGGGATCAAGAGTTAGGAATTGAGAGAAAAGCAACTAATTGACAAGGACTGGTAAGAGAGATTTACTGCGAAGATTACAACTAAAGCACGTTAAGCCTGTCAGAGCAATGGGAGGGTAGGGTAGGGGAGGGATTATCTTGAGCTGCTGCAAGAAGGGTAGGACGAGAGGGGAAAAAAAGGCAGTAAAAAGTAAATCTGACCAGAGAAAACATTTTGAACTGTGAACCTATGCCCTGCAAAGTAGTACCCACAGACAAAAGCTCTTGCTTGCAACTTGCACGAATATACTCCACTGAGTACGGGCAGGGGGAGAGAAGCAACAGGCTTTGAGGAGAAAATATCATATAAAGCAGTCCTTAACACGGTAACAAAAGGTCTAAATATCCCATACACATAAGCAGCATTATCAGAGGTGGTAGACTTTGTAAGGCACACAAGTGGTTGGGCACATGTACACTAGAGTCTGAAAACCAGGTACCCAGGTTCACCCTAGTCTTTGAGACTCTCCAGATGTGCAGAAGCCCATATGTCTCATGTCAGTTAGGCACAAACGGCACACCATCCTGCCTATGGCGTGGCCACAACAGCTTAAACAACCAAGTAGTTTCTCAGGAGCCTCATTTCCCAGCTAAACTCACCCAGCAGCGAGCTGTGGCTGCAGATACCTCATAGTAGGGTTAAACCTCCACTCCTACCCCAGCTGACACAAGTGCATGCAACCAAGCTGCAGCCAGAAGCGCTCCGGCACAGCAGGAAGAGCAGCTTGGCTTTCAGAGGGTGCAGAGTTTGTCCATATACTGAAGGTCCAAAACAGAGGACTTAAATCCTTCCCAGGAAGAGGCAATCTGTTTCCAGAACAGGGACATCCCTACATGAACGTAAACTTGGAATACATGGATCAGCCACAGCTAACTTAGCATGTGAAATAAACTCCTGGACTGCTTGCACTTGCGCTATCTTTATTTGGCTAAGCCCAGAGTGGGATGTCCTTAAGCTGTCTTGTTTGAGCCAGTGCTCCTTACTGCTCGTTTGTGATTCTTACATGTGTCCAAGCACAACCCTGCACATCACCCAGGAGCACTGTACTGTGAGAGAACAGCATGATGCATCATTGCAGCATTCAGAAATTTGCAGAAAGACCTATCAGCCACCAAAAGATTAAGTTCAAGGCAAAATATTTCATGAAGAAACTACTTACTTTTCGTGTTTCTGTGTGCCTATGCCCTTCTGCAAAATTTCTTTATAGAAACGCATTGAGGAAACTATGCAGCCTGATACCCAGTAGATCATTATATTGGTGAGCAGGTCATCCATCGTAAACTTCCTGGAAAAGGTCAGCCCAGAGAGATTGCTCAGTTAAGACTAAACACCGTTTCATATTTCTTTGGCAAGGACTTGACTCTCTGGTTTGGTTGTGCGAAGAAATTATTAAAGCAAAATTAGTTGAACAGAAACCCCACTGATAAGGAAAACAGTTGAGTGATGGTGGGTATTACTTCTACTTCCTGCTTCTTTCTTCTGTGTCAGTGGCCAAATCAGTATGTTCAGACACAGGCCGGAAAGTGACATTTAAACTTGCACAGGTGCTTTATGCTCCAGCATAGCTGGCTATACTGTCCCTGCACTGGTGGGTAGGAGAAGAGCACATGGAACAGCTTGTGGCATTTATTATTCATAATCCCAAATGCTACCATAAGCTTTCCCTAGAGACATTGCAGGAACTTCACCAACCTATTCCACAAATAGTGCATTTTCTTCATATTAAATCACTAGCTGCAAGCAGTGGAAACGTGCTAATGAAAGCAATTTTCACTGGACATTTTCCTAACATGACTCTGTTCTGTCACATACCTCAGCAGTTTTCGAAGGGGACATCAAAATCTAATTTCTGCCTCAAACTAGGAGTGACTTAGCAAACATTAGGTAGATGAAGTAATACTGATTAATCAAGTACACAGAATTAAGTATCAGTATTAAAATGAATCATGAGCTCTATTTCCCAGCTTTTTAATATAGAGCACATCTTCATTGTTCCGACCAAATGAGGTTCTTCCACCTAAATTAGCTTTTTTAATCCCCAGAAGTTACAGGACGTATCTCTTCTAGGGGATCAAGGTGGGAATGGAGTAGTCAACCCTCAAAATCTATTTGCTCCTCTGTGTTGTGCAGTCCAACAGTGTCTTGTTTTGGTTGCTACAGGCTCCTTGCAAGATGGGAGTAGCCAAAATAGGCACTTATTTAGCTATGACTTAGGGCTTGGTCGTTCAAAAGTGCTTACTTCTCCAGTCCTCCATCCTCTAAATTACAGAATTCAGGATCAGTCCAAGTAGAAAACTTCTCCAAGATGTAGCTAGCCAGTCCTACTGGAGAGTCATTCAAACCACAGCCTGAAAAAGAGGAGGAAAATTTAACTAAAAGTAGAATATCCTGCTATTGACCTCAAGACTGTTTTAGAAGCTGCCATTTTAATACAGAGCAGACAGCTTGTTATGAAGCTGTTCCAGCAGTTGTGTTAAATGCAGGAAAAAAAAAAGTATTAGAACAAGTCAGAAACGTTTATTGTTGAATCATAAACTGATAGTATCTGCAAACCAGGAGCTTCCATATTAGCTCACACAGTATGTTTTTTTTAAAGTGATGTAACACTATTGGATTTCTGCTGGCCTTTTTTTTTCTTTTAGTGAGCTAATAAGATTATCTTAGTGTGCCAAGTAAGATTTGCTTCCATTAATGTGGAAGCTGTCATGTATTAACAGCATTACAGGACCAAACTCCATATGCCTACATATGTAAGAAGAGACGAGGAAAATTTCCGTCATTATCTGGTGGAAAACCTTTTCAGGGATTATTAGAAAGTCATTAAGGACAAGCAAGGCTTTATTAAAAGGTTCATCCTGCGCATTAGAAATAGCCAACTGCCTAATGTGGAACAACGCTTAATATACCTTTGGTCATCTGTTTTGTTCACCCAGAAGACCCACACCTGCTCTTGGAGCTTTGCTAATACAGCCTAGTGCTGTCAAATGCAGGCACCATAAATCATCCCAGCTGCTCAGTTCTGGCCTAGGAAAAATTCTTCCTAAAGAAGACAGCGTGTTTAAGTCCCATCCATGCATCCCCCCGTCCTCACTCTGTGGTGCCCCACAGTACAGCCAGCACAATTTCATTGATAGTTACAAACTAAATGTGCATTCCAGTTATCAAATAATTAACATTTATAACTGAAAAACCAAATGTAACAAAAAGTTATATTTAGCATGCCCTCCAGATCTGCAGAACTAGACAAGCAATAACCAGTTCTCATACTGTGAAGGAAATGAGGAAGAGTGCATCAGTTTACAGATTGGAAAAACTGACACTGATCCAAACAGCACTTCTAACAGTGCAGGCAAATTCCCAGACTTCTCAATCAACTGAAAGTGAACCCACACTCCCTGTGAGTTTCCCAGGGAATAAGCATAAAATCAGATTCACAGAAGCCAATTTGATCAAAAGCCAACGCTGAAGCAATCGGGAGCACGCTGTCAGCCAGAAGGCAGAGACGACTTCCGTGCCGAGGATCCTGCTTTTGCTGATCGCCGGCGGCTCTCCTGCCATATCGCCTTACTTGCAAGGTGGCCTTTTCCCAGCAGAAGCCTCGCGAAGGTGCTGGCAGCCTCTCTGGCCTTGCCTCTGCCACCTACGCTCTGCTCTCTTCTGCAGAGCCCTCCCTTCTGCCATGCTCCTTCTCCTTCCTCCTCCAAGTTGCAGGAGTGCTCCTGCTTCAGCTCCCAAAATTTGAACTCACTGCTGCTTCACAGTCTGTGCAGTCCGCCCTGACAAACCACAGATGACTGGTGGGGACAAGAATCAGCCAGAAAGCCACAGCAAAAGGAGCAAAGCTGGGTCTAGCCATCTGTCACCCACAGCTTCCCTATCTTTTCTTGAAGCATACAAGGAATTGACAGACTAGAATTTTTCAGAGACCACAACTCAAAGCAAGCCAAATTACTTAAAATTGATTTAGTTATCATTTTCTGAACTAAGAAAATAGTTTATTTTCCTGTGTGATCAAACCCCAGTGAGTTTAGTGCTGCACTAAACCTAGATATATTCACTATTCTTGAATCAGTTGTCTAGCAAAGAGAGAAAACTAAATTTGATTTACTTTTCAGGTATTATTATCCCTATAAATGATCTAGCCTGTATACTGAGACATCTAAAAGCCTCTTAGAGTTTACATTATTTAAATGTGATCCATTCTCTGGGAAGAAATTATTCTCAGCATAGCTGATGTGTTTGAAGTGGAATTGTGGTCCCTGGTGAAGTGGAAAAGTATTATATAAACTCTTTTATTTATGAAAACTGAAAATTAGGTCAGCAGCATTTAGAGAATGCCAGGCACATGGCCATACACTCAGTTGTGGTGTGCAGATTTACCATTTCACACAAGAAACAAGTTAAATACTACACACAGATACATATTCTTTTCTGATTTGTACAGGAGATGAGCATATCTTTAAAAATTTCAAACTTTCCTACTTCAATCGGGGGGGAGAAAAAAAAGATTTTCTATACCTTTTAAGCAATGTGTCTTGTTTCTAGAAAGGAAAAGTACAATTAAAATCAACAATTCTGAGCTCAGAAAGCTTTGTTTGTTCACTTTACCAACAGTATCAGGCTTTGTAGCCTGTATGTGAGCGTAGCCAGACTCCCTCAAGATCCTGTAGACTCCTTTTTCCAAGAAGGGATACATCCGCTTAAAATCTTCATCCTGGAATCCAAAGAGCCCTGGAAGATAACATCCCAGCAGAACGGAGAGCACATGACTGAATCCTAGTCTTGTAACAGAGGCTAAATTTAAGTGAAGGCCTTTCAGATTGCTAAAAACAAAACCAGAAAAGAAAGCACACAATTCAATAAAAATCTGACTCTAAAATTGTTTAAAATGTTATTAACTGAAGAGATATACTTAAATTCTGCTCCTCTGAATACATTGTTGCTCATTGTCTTAGCTGTACTTTGTTGTCTAGCTTTTCATGTGAAAACAAGCCAAAGGGGCAACTGCCAGTAATCAGCACATCACTATGCCACCAATCCTCCTTTCACTACAAACACTGGTCCCACTCCAGACTTGGTCTGCAGCCATCACGAAAGTGCTACGCAGCAATTGTCTTTTTGGAAGAAGTTCTGTATCACTGTGTAGTACTGAGCACTGAAGACAGAAACTGCACAATGCTCATGAGGACTTAGACAGGAACTCTGAGGTGCATGAGCAATACTTTGCTATTTAGAGAATAAAACAGCTTTGCATGCCAATCATTCAGCAGTGTGCCAAAGAGCTACTCACTTGGGAGCAATCTGGGCCAGATTGGTGCAGATGAGCCCACCCCAGTCACCACCTTGTGCGTAGAACTCACTGAATCCCAGTCTGAGCATCAGTTCATAGAAGACAGAAGCAGCACTTACAGAATTAAAGTCTGTTAGAAAAGAAAAAAACATACTGCATTAACTCCTGCTGTGCATTTATTCTCCCAGGAAAGGCAATAGCCAAGTTTGTAAGAAGCTACAAGTCTTCCTGGCTAGCAAGGCCCTCGCCAGGCCAAGGTAAGGTCCAGAGAAGGAGCAAAAGCAGGAGGAGAGTCCAGTGCTCATTAGGGGCTGCTCCTCTAGCCCCAACAGATCTCCAGGCGCCTGCCCCACGGCGGGGTGGCTGCTCTCCCGGGCACCCAGGACTGTACTCCGGCTGATGTGCCCAGCAGTGCTGACATTGCCCTGGCAACGTGTTGCCGTTCTGCCTGCCGTAAGCGGTGCCAGTTTAACGACAGCTGGAAACCCGAAGCGACAACCAGTAACGTGATCCTCAATGAACGTGGCCCGCTTCCAGCATACACACAAGCAGCCCTGCCAAATCAGAACCATGGAAGTAGGGAAGAGCAAAGCCAACCCCTCCTCCATCCCACAGAGCCGTCACCTACACACGCAGGTACGAAGCTCAGTGACACCCTAAATGCTACTAAGCTCAGATTTTCCACATTGGGAAAATGAGAGGAACCAGGAGGGGATGTTCTGCTGCTAGGGGCTGCTCTGTCGCCTTGAGATCAAGGGCTGTTTAAAGCCTAGCTTCTTCCCACACATCCTACCTTTCTTGTGAGGGGCTTCCGAGAAGCCGTAGCCAGGGATAGATGGGCAAATGACTTCAAAAACGTGCTCATCGCTGAGGCCGTGGCTAGCGGGGTCTGTCAGAAGTGGAATAATCTTGTAAAACTCATAAAATGAGCCTGGCCAACCATGAACCATTAATAATGGCTTTGCAGACTGGCCTTCCGGCAGGCGAGGAGGCTTTACGTGAATGAAATGGATATCGATACCTGTCAAAATAAATAAATAAATAAATAACATGCCCAATTTTACCATGACACTGAAACCAATCACAGAATAGAGGGGAGTTGGAAGCCTTCTGGTGACTATGCAAACACCCTGCACCTCCGGATCCATTTACCCAAGGAACTTAAAGTACTTTATAAAGGGCAATTAAGCACCACAGCAGCCAAAAGAGGTAGACATATTTCTGTTTTAGACTAAATAGGCAAATTAAGGCCTAGAAGTGAAGCAATCCACTAATGGTAACACAGTGACTCACGCAGCCAAAAAGGCAGAAGAGACAATTACATCATTTATTCCAAGTGGCTGAATATCGGATGCCCTTAAATTTCACCGAAATATTCCTACGCAGAGCCTACCACAGCTTTGTTTCCTAAAAGACATGCAATTATGGCTTTTATGCTTGTTTCAGGGGAAGTTAATCACTTTCCTTGTTTTGCGCAAGCCTTCTTTTACATTTGAACATGTCTGGCTTCTGTCTCCACCATTGATCCTAATCTTGCAGCAAAAGGAATTTTAAAAAGCCTTCAGTAAGCATTCCCTCCCTGTGGAGGCCTCCTGCAATCAAGTTATACATCTTAACTTTTGATAAGCTAATCAAGGATTTGAAAAAAAAAAAAAAACTTGCTAAAGGAGATTTAGCTTAGCTTGATTTTATAGTTCTTTTCTATCTTTGTCTAGAGTGTTCAGTGCCTTCAACCATACTCTAGAGCCATTCCCATCACTATTAAGTGAAAAAGTAAGAACGGCAGTTGTATTTCCTGTATGAGCTGTACGATATATAAGCAGCGTCACTCTGGGAGTTCCTGGTGAGCTGCTTATCCTCAGAGCTGCTCAAGGCTCTGCTTTCCACCATACAGTAGTGGAAATTCGCTCTAGCAGTGGGGCTTGCATGCCTCACTTTTTGATGCATATACAAACACTTCTGACTTGCAGCAGCTCCAGCTCACCAACAACCCCAGCCTTTCTCACTGACTGAGATTTCCCCATCCTTATTTAGTCCTGTGAACTTCTGTAATCTCTCAGAAATGTTCAGTGCTGACAGAAGTTAAGAATCTGACCTTTCACATGTTAACTTTGTCTTATCATGGCCTTTGTGCCAAAGCCAAAACCTCTCTCCATATTGTTATCTCCAGGCATTGCCCGCAGCATCCTTTTCCTTTCTCCTGTCTCAGACAATACACCCTTCATCTTTTTTTTTTTTGGGGGGGAGGACTTTGCATTTTGTCTTGTCTGACACTGTTGCTTATGTTAAAATGAAACCTTGATGTCTACCTGCTATGTAGGGGATTCCACATGTCCTTCCTTTTCCTAAATATTTCAGGTATGACAAGAGAGTTTCTCACCTATGCCGCAGCATTCATATCACTGAGACCTCTTATAGACAAGATTATGATCATTGCTTATTTTTAATGGAAAAAGCCACACACCTTGAATCTTAGTTTTGAAGTGTGGGTATTTATTGAGAACCTCGACTTGTTTCTTCCAGTTGAACTGATTTTTCCAGTAAGAGACAACCTTCCTGAGATATACTGAATTAATCCCATATTGGAAGCAACTGTTCTCCAGTGGCTCAGTGAATCGAGCTTGGTCAAGTCTCCTAAATAAGTCCTAAAGGCAAAAACAAAGAAGGAAAGAGACGTTACAAGCATTTATGTCTGCCAGCTTGTGCTTTATTTACTGTGCAGGCTTTTTGGTTATTCCCAAGTGAAATCATTCCAAATCCATCCATTCCAATTCCTGCTCTCCTCTACAAGCCCTCCTTGCTCTCCTATTTACAGCTGCCACACTCTCCCAGTCTTTGTTCAACAACGTTGACCTGTTTGCAAGGCTGATAGCCACAGAGATAATTTTTTCTAATCCTTCTAACAGAACCCAAAACCAACAGGCAGCTACAAAGAAGCTTGCTTATGATACTCATCTCCTCCATCACATGGTTACTCTTCTAGCTAACCAGAGGATATGGCATCTTGCAGAGTGATTACCAAAAGTGCTAAAGTGGCTTCAAACCCACTAAAAGTTAAAGTAAAGGTAAAGTTTCTTTACCTTTCCATGGTGCTTTGTTCCCCAGGCTACCATTGATGCATGAATCTGGCTCAGACCTTTTGCTCTCCTTCCCAACCCAACAGGCTGGGTGTCTTCACTGGTAAACACACCACTAGATTTCACATAGCCAAAGTTGGTGAAATGAGCCTTGGAGTGAAAGTTTCCACCTCTAGAACAACTCTTGAAGTGACTGTGGTAATGCCCTTTAACAGTTTACAGGTGAGGTGGCAAATTCAGTCCAAAATCGCTCTCAAGGAAGGACAGCCAAGAGCCCCTTCCTAGTGCAAACAGAATCACAGGATAGCTGGGAGTAGAAGGGATTTCTGGAGATCCTGTCCTCCCCTGCTCGAGCCTCTGTGAGGTTTAAACCAGAGCAGCATTTTTGAATATAGCTGTAAGGACAGCTCCTATATTGACTACATTGAGTTAGATGCATGCACTGCTCATGCAGTCTCAGACTAGGCAAGCTGGTGGCAGGGGAGCTAACCTTCCTTGGCACATTACATGAGAAAGCCACGCTGTCTTTAACCCTTGCTAATGTGGTTTAACCAAAAGCCTGGGTTTTAAACAAAGCTTTTAACATATTGGTACATACAGGCTGTTTTGTCCTTGCTCAGCAACTGTAAAAGCAACAAAAAAGTTTTATCTGATGTATGCTAGTATAACTTTAATCCCTAGTTTTTGTGAAAATTTATTTAGAAACAAGAGTTTACTAGTGATGGATGATGAGTCAATATTGTTGCAATACTACAATATAGTATTGTACATTTCAAAAAATCTGTAGGTTAGTATCTAACTTTCTGTGTGCAGTGTAAAGAGAAATTATATTTATTACAGATCAATGTCCATATCACTAAGGAGAACAAATGAAGCATTAAAAAAATGGGAAAAAAAAATCAGACTTCATAGAGGAAGCAATCCATTACAACTGACTAATACTGGCAATCTCATGAGTACTGTTTAAAACATTATTCCCAACAGGTCTAGGAGCTGCACAATCTCCGAATTAAACACATAATCAACAGCTTTGCTAGTTAACAAATTCTGCAACCTAAGTATTTTTTTCCATATTTATACTATAGTGTTAGTGCTGACCAAAGTATAAAATCAATCAGAGAAGAATTAGCATTTGAGCATTTAAAAGCTGCAGCAGTCTTTAGCCGCAGACTAAAGGCACTCAAGAAAACAAAATATTTGTATCTGCCTTTGAAAGAAATAAAGACACTATTATTACAATCTATACAGTCAGGCTTAGCAAGGGCTCTCTACCTATCCAAACCTATCTCTAAACTAACAGAAAATCACTTCCCACTCCCGCCTGTTGGCGATTCCTTGTTTTAACAAATGTAGTTATTGGTTCAGTTTAAAAACTACTTTCAAGCAAGTTCTACATTTACTTGGCCATTTCACACTTCTCTCTCCCCCGTACAGAAATTTGCTTACGCTCAGCTCTTCCTCTGTAGTTTCCACTTTAAACGGTCGAATAGTTGCATCTTCAGCGTCAGGCTTTTGTCCCTTGCCCCACCATCCCTCTTTAAAGGGTAATGTCTCTTCTTTCTTCTTGGAAAGGAAGTAGTAGTAGATGACTGTTCCCGCAATCAGTGTCACAAGTATGTCAAGCAGCATAATGCCTGCAGAAGAAGAACCAAAGGCTGGTGAACCTAATTGGATAGGTCAGAGGCATGCAACATACTACAAAAATACAAAAGCTTACTCACTTTTTAAGATAGGATTTGATCTACACGTTTAAGTTTCACTGATCACACTCAGGACATCAATAAGTTGCATCAATAAGACATTAGATCAATAGGTTGCGTTAGCAAAATATTGATTACATCATTCATTTTTGCATCGCAGATGCTGCGTGCCCTATGTTGGTGGTGGCATTTTGTTGTCACAAGTCACAAATTGACATCTCTAGAGGTATCATACTGCTCCGGCATTTGGTCAGTATTAAATTTTTGGGGAAAAACTCCACCTCCACAGAATTAGCTCAGCTTCCCCATTTCCCCATGGCGTGAACAGCAGGCATAGCCAAGGCTCTAGGTCTCGAAGGCCCCTGGTTCCTTCTGCTGCACTACCTCGGAGCAGGGTGTGAGGGCAGACACGTCCAGCCTCCGCATGAGCTTGGGTAAACGGGGGCAGGAAGGGAATATTTGCACAACAGTCAACAACAGTGCAAAGGGTAAAAACAACTTCTCTTTCTTTGGCCCTCTGAACCCTTTAAAAAGAAAACTCCTGCTTCCTAAACACCCTTGAAGCGACAAAAATCTGTCTGAAATCAATTTTGAATATGTTTGAGCTGCTTCACACTGTAAGTAGAACAAAAATCAGATTCTCTTTAATAATTAGTGTTTTCAAGATTCCCTTTAAATATGAGAAATGTTTGGAATGTGGTTTGTGGAAAAGGGTTGTCATAATTTTAATACATTATTTTAAAGAATGCCATATTTCCCACACCCATATGCTAGGGGAATTGCTAAAACACTAGATATTGCTACCCGCTTTTGTAGTGCAAGCAGCGCTTAGGACATAGAACTGTCTTCATTTTCTCCAGAGCTGGAAGATTTTGTTGTTTTGTCTTTTTCTCCTGCTGCAGAGTAATCTGATGCTCTGAAATCGCTGAAAGGACTAAATAAAATATTCAGTGAAGAGAATGGACCAAATTCGTCCCTGGATCAAAGCAAGAATTCTGACACAGCTTACTGGTAGTTTACGTAGTTATAACAGGAGTAGAGCCAACTCGTATCTTGTACGATCTAGGCGACAGGACATATTGTAGTTCATCTCTTTCGCTAATTTTCAGAATTCCAGTGCTAAATGAACACGACCAAAATATCTGTAGAGGAGCTGGACACTATTAAGATACGACTCCAAGCTACACAAATAGACTGCTGACACAGACAAGTGCCACAGTCTTGTGAAGTGACTTGAGATTCCTTAACCCTCACAGACTGGAGAATGGGAATAAGAGACCCTGGAAGAAGGGTATCTGCTTATTAGTTTCACTGGTCTTTCAGAATTATCACTGTCACTGGAGAAAGTGCTATTTTTTCCCTGAACTCTCTCTGGAGCACAAAATAGGCAACTCTTTTCAGCCCCACCATACTCAAGCCCTGATTTACCCTGAAATTTTGTCCATTTGGAGCCTTAAAACATAACCCAATGCAGTCTAGAAGCATCCATTTCATTGCGAAGCAGAACAGGAAGGGGTTTTAGGAACCTCAAAGTACTTTACATAATAACTAATACCTACCATGGTATTTGATAGATAGTGTTTCTATTCCTGAGTCACAGAGAAGCAGCAGAAACTTCTCTTGAACTCCCAGCCCAACTCAAGACACATGCAGGCTACAAAGACTGGCCAGCATAGTTCTCTTAACACTTAGCCTAGGAAAATTCAAATCCTTGGATAACTTTAGCACATTACCAAAAGCCCTGTACAAAGAGCTGTGCCAAGATCCCCATTTCAGTCCAGCTAAGCTCAGTTGTCCAAAGTCACAGGAGCACCCAGAGTTATGGAAGGATTTCCCCCAGCTGGGCTCGGTGAGACCGAGAAATTAGAAGTTTGGGAGCAGAACACGAGGGCAGCGTGTGCAAACAGGCACATTTTGCATTTGCCCACAAGTGTGCATGCAAAGAACTCATTACATGAAAACAGGCAAAGTTGCACATTTTTGCAGTTTATACCAAATGCACTGTAGGATGAGTTCATTTACAGACCAGCGGTAAGTGCCAAAATTAATTTCAGGCCTCGGCAAAGTCCCATCTCCTACTGCAGAGGACTGAGAGTGGTGACAAATCACTTCACCCAAAAGGTCATTTTTGTTTGGAAGGAATCCGCCTCGGGTATTCTTTGCATTATGTCTTTCTAAAGGAGATCCCAAGCTGATCTCTACAGCCACCGTGTCTCAGTTCCCTCGTAAGGGCCACACAGCCCCTAGTCACTTCAGTAGGGAAGAACACAGAGATCTTGTCTTCTGTGACAGGAAAGTCATTAGCCACATTAGTCTCCTGTTCCCACTTCTCCTGCTGCAGCAATACAGCAGCACAACTCTGGAAGAAGGAATAGATGAAACAAAATTTTTCTGTGCATGCAGTTTACAGAGATAAAAAGAATAAAGTGGTGTTATTTTTCTCTAAGGTGTCTTGATGCAACAATGCAGGCATGTTGTCTCTAACAGTCACAACTTCAAAGGGAGCTTTGTTTTGTTTAAGTGGTCAAAGGCGAGACCTTAGAAAGAAATTTTCCATTTATCTCATGGTCAAGTAATTAAAGCCCCAGGACTTTGCTGTTCCCTAGGGTGGATATTGTTTCTAGATAAGCATTAAATACCATGCATGATATTTCTCTCATAAATAGTCTGAGGAAGAATGTTTTCATTTTGTTCCTTTAAAAGCATGTTTTAAAAGAAAAATGTTAGAAAGTGACAGACCCAGTAAAGCACCCCAAAATTAGCTCCTCTTGAAGGAGGCAAAGTGCTTTTCAAGAAACCGTCATCATTTTGAAGCCCCCAAACCCAAGAAACTCAAAACTCTCCTACAGCATCCTTGCTCCTTGTGAAAAGTGGTCTTATGCTTCAGCATTTTTTGCACTTCGATTTGCACTTCTCTCTGTCTGTGCATTAATAACAGACTGAACAGCTCCATAGGAACACTGCAACTGTTATTAACATCAAAGCTCTGTCCTGCCTCAGGCCACGTCTCCATCAGCATCCCGAGAACAGTGCTACATATTTTTAAGAGCAGTTACCTATAAAATAACCTAAGGACAGAATTGAATTCCTACCTCATTCTGATAGCAGTTGCCCACCTGTGCCCTGCAACATGAGGATCCTTTTCAAATATGTTACTGGAGAAATAAACAACTGGAAAGATTCTGAACCTAACATTTAGGAATCTCTTTTTTTATGTCTCAAAGCATAGGCAACACCTGGGTTGTACAGCCTCAATAACGCCCAGCACCCACAAGTCCAAGTGGACTTGGCTATTAAACCACAGCAGTCCAAAACAGCTAGTGCATGGGTGAAACAGAAGCTCTGAGGGACCATGCTGCTTTCGGACACATGCCAGAGATTATCTTTAGAGTTAATAACATTTGCTCTCTAAGGCTGTTTTACTAGCAGATCACAAGGGAGCTCAGAGCACTTAGAGCACTCTGACACTGTCAGATAAGAGCTTTATTGATTAATAATTACCCCGCGAGAGAAATAATGGCTCAATTTAGGAATGATGTTTCAGTTTATTTTTGTCCTGTTACATAAACTTCCCGACTAGATTTTACTGGAAACGCACCCTTCTGCTGCAGTGTCTTTTGTTTCCAGATCCAGTTCGTCTGGAGAGCAGCAACTGCAGGGGAGAGTACCCCAGCAGGTCTGAAAGGAAAAGCAACCCCCTGAAGGTCTTCAGAACTGCACCTGTAACAGCGTCCCTCAGCACAGAGGGTCTTAAGGGCACTAAGCCATGGCACAGTCCCTAAAGCTGTCCCGCGTGCTATGTCCTACCATCTCTGGGCATCATGTTTTGTCTTTGCGTAACACGGAAATGCATGAAAAAAACAAGAGGTCAGGATACTTGTGTATGAAAAGCTTCCTAATGACCTTGTTCATGGAACACTATGACAAGCTTCGGAATGGCACAGCAATGCAAAACTTGCTCTGTACACAACAAATAACATCTGCCAGGTGAGCACAAAAGGATCCATAGGATCATTTTGTAGGAAAGAGAGTTGAGTACCAGATAAAATAAAGCTTCCTCCGCCAGGAAGTAAACCAAAGGCAGGAAATACAAACCCGAGAGCTTCTGGCTGTCCCGATAAGAAATGCACTATTTACGCTAGTGCTGCCGCAGAGAGGTGCTGCACAATGGCAGCTCCAAAGCTGGAGGAAGAGATTGTATTGCTCTGCCCCACAATCTGATCCGAGATTGCTCCCTATCCGGAGGCAGCGAGCACAGCAAGAACCCAACAGGAGCAGCCAACAGAGAGCTCTGGGAGCACCCACGAGTTTTGCTTTGGGCAACTAATCCCTGATGCAGTTTATCCAAAGGCAATAAAGTACCTTGCACCATATACGCTCACCTAAATTTCTGTATCAGTCAAGTGCAGTGAATATTTCAACCAGACTGAAATCTCACAGGCAATTAGACCCAAACCTAGCTAAGCATAAATGCAAAGTATCGTGGGCCCAAGGTCACTCCTACCCATTCTGCCTCCCTCAGAGCGCGTATTTAAGCTTTGACCTCCAGCAGCTGCACATCTCCCAGTCCCATGAAAATGCTGCATGCCACACTTGTAAAGAGGAAGTTACTCAAGTTAAAAGAATGTAAACTTAGGCGACATTACTTGTCCTTTCAAATCCATGCCCCACACATTCTTATGTGCCGCTTAAAAATGCATCTCATTTTTCTCCATTTTCCTTATTTTGCCTCTGCTTGCTTCTCCTACCCCAAAGCTAAGAGAGAAAAAGGTAATATGCCAGTACAAAGTTTAACAAATGCTACATATCCACTGTCCAGCCAGCTAAGCGATACAACAGAAGAAGTAAAATGGGCTCCAAAAATATCTAGGGATTTACTTCAACATTTAATTTCTAATGTCTGAAAGGAAATTATGAATAGCACATTGT